GCAAATTGGCGCAGCACCAATTGGTTAACGCGCCTGCGTGCATGTGGCCAGGGTGCCTGCAGCAGCGCACGGCTGTAATCAAGTAGGGTAATGTTTATACCCGGCGCACCGGCCGAACACTCCGCCGGCCTCGCATGCGTCGTGGGATTTCTGTGCGATCCAGCGATCGTACGCAAGCCACGTGTTCTGCCAGGCCGGCCCACCCCACCGCTGAAGGGACTTCCTTATCCTCTCACGAGTATACCACTCATTTTCCCCATCTTTTTCCCCGCTGCCGTATCCCAACGCCCAGTTTCTCACCGCCGTCAAGCCGAACAATACTCCCCGTTAATCCTATTCCAAATCAGCAACGGCCGCTAGCTGAGAAGCAAGCCAGACGCGAGGGCGTCATGCTTGGGAGGTTGGGCGGGGTTGTATGGTGGACATCGTCGGATGCTCGACCCGGCCGACGCCGATGCTTTTTTTATCGACAGCTGGCTCCTACTGCATGACCGCGCTGCGTGCCGGAATCGGCGGCGAGCCGTGCTAGAACCAGTCATCCGTCGTGCTGGGACCTGCGCCGGGTGGCCTGCCGACAATGGTGACTACGCCCGGTGGCCGGCAACGGAGACACCGATTTTTTTGGTGGAAGCATTTGTTTTTGCTGGAAAGAGCTCCAAAATTTGCTTCCACCGTGTTCTGTTTTTGCTGGATCCATTCAAGTTTTTGCTACCACCATCCTTTGTTTGCTGGAATCGGGGCTCATCTTTTGCTAATTTGCTACCACCGTGCTCTTTTTTTGCTGGATTCAGCCAATTTTTTGCTATCACCATCCTTGTTTGCTGGAACCAGGGCTCATTTTTTGCTTCCACCATGTTCTGTTTTTGTTGGATCACGCTATTGTTTTTGCTACAACCAGTGCTTTGCATTTTTGCTACATTGCATAAACCAGAGTCGGGGAAATTTTGCTACAATCGGTGTCAGCTGAGCTACAACCAGCACCTCGAATTGCTACAACCGCTGGCAGTGCAAGCTGCAACAGGTATCGCGACTCAGCGGCGAAGATGATTTTTGTTGGAACCGTTGCTTGATTTTGCTGGAACCGGCGCTCATTTTGGCTGGTACAGGTGATCAATACGTTGCAATGGTGAGATGTAACCGATGAGCTGTGGCATCAGGTGTGAGCAGCGACGAGCACGCCGGCGAGCTGTGGCCCTTGCCATCGGAGCTGCAATCGTCATCACCGGAGCTACAGCCACGGGTGCACAATGTTACATGCATGGAGCTGACGACCGACGGCGAGGCGGTGACCACCGGCGACGGCGGCGACCATCGGCGGGGGAGGCGACCGGCGGTGCTTCGAGGTTGGTCGCGCTCGCTCATCCATGGCAGCGGCGCCCGCTGCTCCTTTTTCCCCGCTGCGCTTGTGAGATTTGTTTTCGGGAAGAAAGGAGCCTGCACGAGAGCTAGATCTGACGGCCTTACACAACTGTATCTGACGGCTGCGGTGCGACCGGCTCAAATTTGGGCCGGCGCACCGGCGCCTATCAGTCGCCAATTAAGTACCACTAATTAACTTTGCGATGATTAGTTTAGCCATTAACCGACGCAGATACCAAGGGCAGCAGCTTGTCGACCATCATCTTTCCACATCCAGCCGTTCGTTCATAGTAAAACAAACAAAACGAAGAGCGAAGACATGAAGTGAAAGCGAACGAGAAACGGATGGGCAAGGAATGAGTCGGCCACGGGCCACCTTTCGACCACCCGGTCTACCAGAATCGAAAGAATCGGAGGAAGGCCAGGCGCGGCGCAGTACAACAGCGATCAGATCAGATGAGAGCATCTTATCACGGCGGACCGTCCTTTCGGTGTGCCAGAAATTACTGACATCAACTGTTGAGTAACGTGATTGTATTAAAAAACATAGGATAAATTAGGAAGTATTCTGTCTTGTCTTATACTCCAAGTAGATCATATACTCCTATATATATGCCCACGAGGCTCAAGCAATACAACAACTATCCCATCAAATCCTTCTATCCCTTCTCACATTGTATCAGTTTCCGGGTTCTAAACCCTAGCCGCCGCCGCCGCTTCCGCACCTGCGGGCCGCCCCTGGGGCGGTCGGCCTCCATGACCGCCGCCGGGGGTCGCGCCGCCCGTACCTAGGGTTCGTCTGCCGGCCGTGTTGGCCGGCTGCCCTAGAGTGTCTTTTCCCCGAGCCCTTGCTCCGGGGTTTTCTCTCTCCCACCGGTCATCTTGATTGTCGGTATTTTTTGGTTTTCCGATCTAATCTTGATCGGTTTGCGTCACCCACCGTCATCGTCGACTCCGTGCGCATCTACTCCAACCCCGACGCGATCAGTCGGCTTCTTCACCGACCCAGCGGCCTGCGCGTCGTTTGCCCGTCGGTCGCCCCGACCCGGCGGCATCGCGCATCGTCCGCACGTCTGCCCGCCGGTCGCCCCGACCCGGTGGCTTCGCATCATGCGGCGGCCCTTCACCGCCGCCGTTCGCGCACCTACCCGCCCGTCGATCTACGTTGGTCGTCACCGCCCTGCTCCGATCGGGACTCCTGCATCACCCGACTCGGCGGTCTCGCGCCATGCGGCGGCCAATCATAGCCGCCCTGCTGCCCGTTGTCCCTGCTGCCCGTTGTCGCTGGCTTCATCTCGGACTCCGCCGCCATCCCGTCTCCACCGAGCGGCGTCCCCGACCTTGCGCGCGATCGGATTGATCACCCGCTCGCCGCCGCGATCCGCCTCATCTACGTTGTGCGACCAACCTGACCTGTTGGTTGCGCGCGCCTCAGCAGGTCCCGTGAAGATCGTCCCCGAGTTCCGCGCGTCCCTCCACCGATCGAGCAACGGGCTGCCGCTGCGTCGCCCCGTCGGGCCGCAGCGCCGCCGCCCCGTGGTTCTTCTACCGGCTGCACCGACTCGCGTCACCACTGCGTCGCCCCTTTGGGCCATAATGCCGCGGCCCGCGGTCCACTGCCGCCCCGAGGTCGTCCGCTCCTGGTCGTCCCCGTGGCCGTATCGACCCTCGCACCGCCGCTGCGTCGCCCCGTCGGGCCGTAGCGAGCGTGGCACGCAGTCCACGCCGCCATCCCGAGGCCTACCCCGTGGTTGCACCGATCCGAGCTCTCCGCCGCGCCGCCCCTTCGGGTTGTCACGCCACGGCCTACGGTCCCCGCAACCGCCCTGAGGTCTTCCGCCGTCGTCCCGACCTGCCCGCCGCCGCTGCGTCGCCCCTTCGGGCCGTAGCGCCGCGGCCCGCGGTCCCCCGCCGTCTCTGCGCTCGACCTCCCGTGGTATGCGCCGCGCCGCCTCACTTGGCACGGGAACGCCACTGTCCGCGTTGGTCTTCGTCAGGCAGTCAGGGTTCTGCGCCTACTTCAAGCACCACCGCTGCGCCCCTAACCTAGCCGCCGCCGCCGCTCTACTTTGGCCGCTGCCGCTGCTACCCACGTAGCTGCCGCCGCCTGTCCACCCCCCTTCGTCTTTGTCTAGCACCAGCCCGTCGCCAGCGTCGCCGTCATCTACCTCGACCACTTCGTCTACTCCGACAATAGCAGGTGACACCGGCCCCATGCTGATTGCGCCGCAATAGTCGTCGAGCCCTTCTCTGCTGGCCTCTCCGATTTCTCCGACATGGCGTACAGCTCGTGCAGGTCCTCGTCTACGCATGTCCGGTGCTGGCAACACCGATGCGTGCCTTCGTCCACGACGTGTCTCCTGGCCTGGCAAGCCTGGTGTGGTGCTTCGTCAACTTCGTCTTAGTCCGTCTACGCATGCCCGGTGCTGGCAACATCGACGCGTGCCTTCGTCTACGATGTGTCCCCGGGGTTGGCAACCCCGGCGCGACGCGTCGTCAACATCATCTACTACCTAGTGCACCACTACTTCGACACCACCGCGCCCAGGACTAACTCGGCGCCTCCTTGCGCCTGCGGCTCCACGGCTACTTCCTCGACACCGGCTACCCGACTCGACATCGACCAGGGCATTCTTCACACGGCTATCTCGACCACGGCTCCACCACCCACGCTCCCGGCTACGTCGACAAACGGCACAAAGGGCTACCGCCTACTTGAGCAACCTTGTTGGTTTCCACTCCAGCCACGACTCCGCGATGCATCGACCGTTACGACTGTGGGGGGATGTCCGTCAGCTTGCCTTCGGATTCTTCTCCAGTCTCACCGTCTGCGTCGCTACCGTTGTGATTGCGGTGGGATGTTGAGTAACGTGATTGTATTAGAAAACATAGGATAAACTAGGAAGTATTCTGCTTGTCTTATACTCCAAGTAGATCATGTACTCCTATATATATGCCCACGAGGTTCAAACAATACAACAATTATTCCACAAAATCCCTCTATCCCTTCTAACAGCAACAAGTCATGTGATGGGTCGTGCCACAACCGGTGGGCGGCTGCATGCAGCGAGCAATCGGCTCGGCTTTGCCGAATTTCAGCCGAACTGGCACATGCATGCGCGGTGTGCTCCAAATAATATCAGGCGTCTAAAAACTGCTCCTCCTGTATGACACTTTTTCTGAAGAGAAACTTACGAATCCGAGCGTTTCACACGGAAACAACCATATATTCCAAATATACAAACTTCTTTGACATGACTATTAGTAGTACTGGTTTGTAATGCAAGAAATTGACCAGAATTTTGACGCTTAAATCAGTATTCAAATCAAACTGGCATGAGCCTTACTTTGCTGCATCGCAGACCGATTCCGGTGTGCTCAGACGCCCACCGCATCACGCTGTAACCCGAGTTTAATTAACAAGTGTTTTCCTTTCCTTAATTAACTCGGCCGGACTCCAGGTTCTTAACGCCCAGAATTCACCAAACTGCCTCTCCCCGGCCTATAAAATGAGGCCAACCGGCTCCCATCTCAGGTTACCCAAACCGGCAGCGAACCACCGGAGAACTCACACAGCAAAGCCTGAAAGCCACCGCAATTCCTGAGTCCCAACTGCTCCACCTCCCTCCTCTAATCTCATCATGTCGACCGCGACTGCATCTCGGCCCAGCGGCCCCATCCTTTTGACTCCCTTTCCCAACTACCAATCCGCCTCGCTCTCGCGTATCAAGCTCTCCGTCGCCGGCTCGCCGGTCAAGTCCGTCAGCGTCTCGTCTCCCCCCTCCTCCCCCACCACCACCCCCAAGATCCGTCGGTCCTGCATGTGCTCCCCGACGAACCACCCGGGCTCCTTCCGCTGCAGCCTCCACAAGGAGCGCAAGCAGGAGGCCCACGCCGTCAGCAGCAGGCCCGCCTCTCCGCCTTCGCCGCCGTCGAAGAGCACGGCCAGCCCGTTCGCGCAGCACATCCCCAGCGGCAGCGGCTGCTCTACACGCTCTTACAGCGGGCTGGCGCGGCGCGTTCCCATGGGGAGCGGGCACTGGGCACGCAAGGCGCTCGTGCCGTCCCCCGTGGCGCAGCAGGTGCAGTACCGGAAGCGAGCGGGCGGGTACCGCGCCGGGGCCAGCTGTCTCTCCGCCGCCTCCATGGCCGGCCGCAGCAACCAGTAAAAACAGCAGCAAGATATGTACATACTGCACAAACTGTACATAGAAAAGAATTTCCCCGAATAATCCAGTCGATGTATACAGTGTATAGAACGAAGATCGGTGGGGATCAGGCCGGAGGGTTGGATTTTAAGACCCAATTCGATTCCGGGCTGGTGAAATTAGCTAGCCAGTAGATACTGTACATAGACTGAGCCTCTTCTTCCTCCCTGCTCCACTTGTACATAGAGTGAGCTCTCGTCCTCTCTGCCCGCTGTGTACAACTCCCCTTGGTTTTGGTCTTCTGGATACACATCAATACTAAACGAGTGACAAATTGGAGACACACATACATGCATCTGATCTGTTGCCGGGAGGCTTATCCATTCATGGATCATGGATGATTTGCCGCAACCACTTTCTCCTTATGTTTCTGTTTCTGTTTCTGGATTGTGGATGTGTATCGCCCCTGTTTCGTTTCAGATAAGCTCCACAAGAGATGAGTGGCGTCTCGCCGTCGCTTGCGACCGTCACGCGGCACCCGTGCGTGCCCCCAGCCGGCCGGATCAGGCCAGCAACTTGCAGCACGGCAGAAATTCTCCGATTCCGACGAGATTTCTGTGGAACTTCATGACGCGCGCAACTGATGAACCGAGGATTTTTCTTCTTCTTTCCCTGCTTGTGAAGTACTAAGAGCATATCCAGCCGCGCCCCAACAGGCCCTCCCCAGGCGTATTTTTCGTGCCGGCCGAAAAAACGGCCAAGTCCCCTCCAAAAACCTGTTTTTCGCCGGTTCGGGCCAAAATTGATGCCAGCGAAC